AGAATGATAGAAGGATGGACCAGTGGAAACTTTGGTATTGATAAATTTATAAAAGATACAATATATGATGCAAGAAATTATTCAGGGATTGTTTATAAATTCCTCGTATGGGTGCCATTTAATAGATTTACAAATTTAAAAAAAATTAGTGAAGGCGGATTTGCCGAAGTGTATACTGCAATATGGATTGACGGTAGATCAGAGTATCATAAAAATAATGGGACATGGAGAAAAGTAAACCCCGAACCTGGGATGAGAGTTGCTTTGAAAATATTAAAGGGATCAAAGAATATGTCAGACGAATATTTAAATGAAGTACGTTTTAAACTAAGTATATTATTTCAAATTTAATTGATTTCATTCTAATTTAATATTAGGAATTAATAAAATATTTTTTATTAATACTATATTATATATAGCTTAGAGTACATTGGAATGTAACTAAAAATTATGGATTAAGGTTGTATGGAATAACTAAAGACCCAAAAACTGAAGAATTTGTGATTATTCTAGAATTTGCTTATGAAGGGAATTTGAGAAGTAGTCTTACAAAGAATTTTAACAATACTTTTTGGGAAAATAAAATTAAAGTGTTATATGATTCATTGATTGACTTACAAAAATTACATAAATCAGGATATTTTCATAAAGATATTCATAGTGGAAATATCTTAAGAATTTATGATGATTTAACTTATATTTCAGACTTTGGATTATCTGGACCAGCAAATGAACAAAAACTAAATGATAAAGTATATGGAGTAATGCCATTTGTTGCTCCAGAAGTCTTAAACGGAAAACCATATACATCATCCGCTGATATTTATAGTTTGGGTGTAGTTATGGTTGAAGTATCATCTGGAAAACCACCTTTTTATAATATAAAACATGATGTACATTTAGCATTAGACATATGTGGTGGTCTCAGACCAGAATTTGGAAAAGGAACTCCTGAATGTTATAAGGAATTGGCTTATAAATGTATGAATGCTGACTCAAATAAAAGACCAACAGCTGATGAATTATGTGGTATATTTAAGTTTTGGTATAGTTCTATTAATGGTAACACAAAAGAGGTAGAAGTATTTGGTTATAAAGGAAAAGAAATTAAAGAAGCGTTTGAAGAAGCTGATAAAGAAATACCAAACATCTCAATTTCATATGAAAAGAATTCTGATGCTGTATACACTAGTAGAGCATTACCGAAACCTGTAAATAAAGGTAGGCATTTTCTATTTTAAAAACTTTTTTTTTTTAAAAAAAAAAAATAATTATTACTAAATTTTTGTTAATAGATTATGATTCTAAATTACCTGACTTGGAAATTCCTAACTCAATGCAATTAAGAGGTACTATAATATAATTTACTATTCAATTTATGCATTAAAGATACTAATATTTACATTGAAAAATAATAGATATTGATAATGAAAATACGGTTGATAATTAGTAAAAAAATTAAATATTTAAATAAAAGACAAACATGAATATCTTACATATGATGTATTTCAATATAAAATATAAAAATAATTAAGTTTTTATATTACTTATCTATAAGATATAATACGATGAGCGATTTCTTTAACTACAATATAAGCTAGTATTGTGAAGATAAATAAATAAGTTATAATAGTATTCAAAATAAATTTTGAATCGTCAAAAAATTAGTGATTAGTATTTGTTTTAAGTTAATGATTATGAAATTGATTACTATCGAATTTATTCGATTATATGGAGTTGATGATCGATGACTTACCACATTACGAAGCCCGCATTTCGATCTTCAAGAATGTCACGAAATGTAATCTCCATGATAAAGATATAAAAAAAGAATTTGCTAAATTCGTTCGGGAGATCTATACTAAGATATATATTTGGTTATCGCGTATGAAAAACTCAGGGATTAACCAAGATAAGTAAACATTGTTCGCATAATAATAAAATAAAGAGAGAGATCATAGGACTTGATAAATCTTACAGTAAAAGGAATTTTATTTTAGACCTTAATTATAGATGGATATGAACGATAGTATAAAGAGATATTAACGAGTATAGAGAAAGTTTGGGTTACCTGTAGGATGGCAAATTGGAGCCGATTTCCCTTATATACAGAAATTTAGAGATTTATGAGACTGGAGCTATACGAAATGTATTTTCATATTTTTCTAATAGTGGAATATATTAGATAAGATAATTCCGTATATGTTATGTGTGAATTTTATTATATAGTAGCGTATGTCGTTTGATATGTATGATAATAATATAGAAACATATTTCAATTACTATTGACTTTAATAAAGAAACATAACAAAGTATTTTGAATTGAATTACTACCAATTCATATTGTGTCATATTGACTAATATACATTTAAATATAAATAATAAAATTAATATTTAACGTATGACTTACATTATATATACTGTAATATCATTTCCTATTTAAAAAAGTTTACGTTTATAAAGAAAATTTATGTAGTACATATAAGATGTAGGAACCATTTTATGTAATAATATTGATAAAATAAACCATAACTAACAAATTCAACAATAAGATTTGTTTAAGTTTTTATGGAGAAGTATTAAAATGATTAAAAATATATAACACAAATGATTAATTTTATTGATACTTTGCAAATTGCAACATACATCTGTAAATACTAAATGAATAATAAATACTAAATATTAACGTGAACGGTGATATTTATTTAATAGTATAAATGTATAATGATATTCTTTGACAAAAAACTTTTATGTAAAATGGTATGCACAATCATAAAAAATAGAGAACTTATTATTACCTTTAACCTCGCAATCATAGAAATTTTTAATTTTTAAAAAGAGCATTGCTAAATCTCACCGGTGGTTCTCACCGGTGGTGATTTTCACCGAAATTTTTTTTTTAATTTATCTTATAAACCTATTGTAATTTTTTAACGAAATTATTTAAAGTAACTTAATGTAATGAAATTTTCATTTACAAACTAAATACTAAAAGTTACACGTTTTTTATAATGATAATAATAATAATTTATTAATTAAAGATTCGTTTTATTGATTAAAAATATAAATATTAACAATTTTTATATATTTATTCATGGAAATAACAGAAATAATGAAAATAAAACGAAGAGAATGTGCTAATAATTTAAAATGCAAACAATAATAAAAAGAAGAGTAAGAAACAAAATATAATGAAAAAACAATACATTTAATTAGATAACTATAATTTGAGGAACAACAAAAGAAGTGAAGGGAAGAACAAAATAAATGAAGAGGAATAAAAAGTAATGAAAGAAACAAAGGTGAGTAAAAAAAAAAGAAAGAAGCAAAAGAGAGGTGAAAAAGGGGGTTAAAAAACGAAAGGGAATAAAAGGGAACGAAAAATAATGAAGGGGGAGTGAAAAGGAATGAAAAAAACGAAGGGGAGTGAAAGGAACAAAAGAAAATGAAGACCTTTACATCATATTTTCAGCCTAGGGATGGCAACGGTCGGTCATGGTCGGTCATCGGTCGGTCATAACCGGTCAAGAACCTTTGAAGCTTTGACCGACCGACCGATATCGGTCACGGTCATGACCGGTCATAACCGGTTAATGACCGTGACCGTTGCCATCCCTATTTCAGCCCAGCCACTTAAAGACACAGAAAAAAATTCACCAACTTTTCTGTCAATTTCTAATCATTTGCATTCGCGATATCAAAACTTATTTTGGAAGGAACGAACAAAAGTCTGGAAACAGTAGAAACTCGATCAAGGTCTAACGAAACAAGACCTCAAAAATTATTGTAAACCACGGGGAGTGAAAAGGAGTGAAAGAATAAAGGACGAGTGAAAAGGACCGAAAAAAACAAAGTGGAGTGAAAAAGAAATGAAAAATAAGGAATGAAAGTAACAATGGAAACAAAAGATAAAAGAACAGTAGGGAATAAAAAAATGAAGCTATAAAATAAGTTAGTAAGAAACGAAATATGATAGACAAAAAAAAAATAAAAAAATGAACATACCGGGAAGAACTAAGGACCTAAAAAAAAAAAATAAAGGAAGGAACAAAATATAAGAAACGAAGAGTAAGAGACAAAATAAAAAAAATAAAATAAAACTTCAAAAAATCGTGACTATGTAATACTAAACACACCTTAATTGTAAAAAGCAAAGGAGTAAGAACGTAAAGAGAATAAAATAAAGTTAGCAAGAAATAAAATATAAAAAACAAAAAAATGAAAAAAAAAGAAAAACATACCAGCTGAGCGAAGGGTTTAAAGTACTAGAAATAATAAACAATAAACATTTATTATGACGCAATTACGTAACCAATCAAAAACGTGGGTGTGATCGGTGAAAATCACCGGTGGTGATTCTCACCACCGGTGATTTTTTGACATTCTCTTTAAAAAACGCAATTATTTTTTATTTCGTTATATTACGGTATTTATTTATCAAAATAATGATTGCAAATATTTTACTTATTATTTATATTATTGAATATTAAATTTATTTCTTAGAACCGTAATGGCATTAGATACTATGATACTTAAATTTATAGGTCACTAATAATGTCTTTTAACTCAAGAAAATTTTCTACATCTTTTCTTGAAAAATACTTGTCTTCAAAAACTTCTGGAACATTATTTGTGAATAAACAACCCATTTCAGGAAAATGGATTCGTCTTTCATGATGCTTATTAGTAAATCGAACATATTCTATTTCCTATAGTGAATAAGGGAATGACAATGTTACAATCGTAATATAATACATTGAAAAAACGAGAATAGTAATTGCATACCATATCAACAAAATCCTTCTCAATTGAAAGTTGCACCAGTTTTGTTCGATAATATACTAAGTTTACAGACTGAAATAGCACATATTCAATCCAACCTAATCCCTCGAGGTTTAATATATCCTCATATTTTAATACATATTCTTGTTTCTTTTTAATCTTATTTGGAATCATAAATTAATCAATATGCTAATTTATTGATAAAACTGAACAAATATTTGACATTAATTATACTTACAGAGCCTTTTTCAATTATAAATTTAATAAAACAATCTGATGAAAATATTTGTTTGATATTTATTTTCCAAATTATATCATAGTGTTTATCCAATAAGTCAACCATAGAAAATTCGGGTAAACTTAAATTATTGTCTTTAAAAGATAATATGCACCTTGACAAATGGATTTTTAAATCATTAATTTTATATATGATCACTTAAATTTTAAATATTGTTATAAATACTTACCTATTTAAATTACTTTCTTGAAATTGATAGTTATTATTATTATTCAAATTCATAATATTTGTCATAAAATAAACATGTTGTTCTGTATATGATTCATTAAGTTAGAGTACTTAATTAATTTAAAGAATAATTAATTTAAATATACTTACTTTTATACATATAAATTTCAAATTCATTAATAATTCCAAGTCGAGCACAATCATCGAGATAAAATAAGTGGTTGCACAAGTAGGACCAAAAACCCGAATATTTTTGTAATAAATAAGCAAACGAAATATCATTTAACTCAAGTAATCTACTTAGGTCAAATTCTGCATCTTCATACTTTTTTAATTCAATATTTATAATAATTCGTTTAAAGTAATTTGATATATCATCAATATTAGATAAATTTTGAGAATTATCTTTAGGATTTAATTCAATACATTTTTCAAAGGCCATTATTGACTTATCAACATCTTTCATTGCATAATATGTTAATCCTTTACAGCAATATGCCAAACTGTTAGAATAATCTAGTTGTATAACTTTATTAAGATCTAATAAAGCTTCGTCATATTTTTGAAGAACAAAATATGCAATAGCTCTTCTATTTAGATTATGAACACTTTCTGGATCTATATTAGCCGCTTTTGTAAAATAAAATATAGCATCATTATGCTTCCCTATATTACTCAAAATTTCTCCATAATAACACAAAATTAATGAATCACCCTCGTTAATACTCAGTAATTTATTCAATATTTTTATAGCATTAAAATATTCTCCCTGTTTTTCATAAATATAGGCACAATACTTAAGACAAAAATAATTATTTGGATCATTTTGTAATGCAATTTTAAAATTTTTTAAAGCATTCTCAAATTCTTTTTGATAGCTTATTCCAAGCATTATAAATAAATTATTTATCTTAGCATTATAATTTATTGAGGTCATTAAATCTCTTACTGCATTATTATAATTTTCCTGTCTTAAATGAATTTCTCCACGAATATACCAGGCATTGGGCATTTTTTCTTTCAATTTAATTGCTTCATTTAAATATAAATGTCCTTGATCATAATTATTAAGACATCTATAGGTATAAGATAGAATACATCTTATTGAATAACTTTCTGGAAAAGTTTTAAGAAATTCTTTACACCAATGTTCAGCATTTTTATAATTTTTTTCTTCTAATTCTTTAATAGCACTTATATATGTTGGATGTTGTTTTCTTCCAATTTGAAATATTGATTTTAATGATTTATTAGGACTAAATTTAATTGCTTTTAGCATTTTCTTTTTCTTAGATAACATTAAATCAACTTCTGAATCACTTGAATCACTATAATTATCTTCTAATTCAATTGAAGGTAAAATATGTCCAGCTTCAAAAAATCGTGGAAATAAATTTTTATAAATAGTATTCAGCGGTAAATATTTAATTTCATTATCTTCAATTTTTTCTTGACATTCAGGACATTTTTTTTGTTTTAATTTTTTTAAATTATTAAATGACAATATATGTTGGCATTTTAAAACACATAATTGATCTATTGGCTCAAGACCAATTGGACAAGTCATATCATTTGCAATAATTTCTAAAATGTCACCCGATTTTGATATTTTTGTTTTTATATTTAGAATTGTTGGACTTATTTCTTTATCTTTATCTTTTCCTTTTCCTTTTCCTTCTCCTTTTTCAACATTATTATCTAATAAATTAAAATCATCAGAGCACTTTTTTTTAACAAATGATAGCAAATTTTGAAATTTTTCTGAAGAATCTGTTGTTGAATCATTTTCTTTTAATTTTTGAATGTATTGGTCAAAGTCAATTTCAATCAAGGAAATCATTTGATTATTAATATTTTGTAAATGAAATAATATTTCAATTGCTTTAAATTGAATGAAATTGCTTGGTGCTTTATTAAGTGATTCAATTGCTAAATAATAACAGAGGCCATGTATGGATTTTCGAGTGGATTTATGAATAAGATTTTGTGCAAGATCTAATACTCCGAACCATAAAATATGTGGTAAAGCAAGAGGTTCATTTTCAGCAAGATCATTGATGAGATTTCCTGTATTTCTCAAAACTTTAATAAGTTTATTTGATACTTCATCAAACTTGGATTGAGAATCTAAAATAGATTTATCAGCAACATCAATCCATTCTTTTTCCAAATAACTCCAAATATATTCCATTAATATCATTTCTTGAAATTTTTTACTAATTACCATTTCAGTATCAGACCAATTAAAAAGGTTATGTTGAATTATCAACATAATTCTCCAATCTATATAATAAGATGCTACTGGATATTTAAATTTCAATACTTTACGTAATTGAGTGAGCATTGATAATATCGAACAATTATCGTTTGGAAGAACAGCTCCGGGTGCTACTGTTGATAAGACTCCTGGTGTAATATTTAATGCAGCCTTGAGTAATTCCATTATTCTTCGTATAATTTCTTGAAACCAAGTCTCATCATCACGCAAACTATGTAATGTATCCCGTAAGTGAATTAATAAGAAGTCAATATTATAGTTTTGACTGTGAACATTTTTATACTTTCTATTATCCTGCGTTTGATTGAATCGATTAAAACCAGGTCTATAATTGTTATAAATTCCTTCTTGCATTACTTGTGTTGTTTTTTTATGAATCTCTGCAAATTTCGCTAAAGAATTATAAACTTTATCCCGAAGTTCTTTACTCAGGCGCATTGGTGTAAAGCAAATTTTTTCCAATACTGCTACCAAGGTACGTATATGTGTCTCTAGTCTGACAACACTCTGTTCTTCATAATAGTCAAATGATGATGGATCTACCAATGCAACTAAAGAATTACGAAGAACTTCAGGTAAAAACTGGTTGAGTGGATTTTCAAAAAGTAATTTAAGGGCGTATAGATATTTCAATTTAGTTAAATTTTTAATAAGTTCTTCTACTTTTTCGTCAGGTGTAGTAAATCCATCCTGCTCCAACTTAAGAAGAATGCAATTATCGGATTTGTTCTCAAGCAGAGGCGTTCTGAATTTGATAGAACTATTTCCACTCTATGTATAGTTTTAATTTAATAAGCTTAATAACTTTAATTTATCAAATATCAAATATATAATTTATTCACCTGTTTTGAATTTCCTTCCATTTTTTTTTCGCCAAAATTGAGTCTAAAAGGCCCAATAGCATAAAAAAAAAAAATTTAAGTATTTATATATTGCTTATTAGAATTTTGTACGCTTTCATTTGTTTATTTTTTTTATTTAAATGCATGTGTACTAACACGGTGTAACAAAAGTTTGAATGAGTAGCATAATTGTTGTGCGTGATTACATCACTTATACATACTATTGCCGATATTTTACCGATAATGATATATTTCCTCATTCCCAAATTGACAATCGGCCTAAATAACTGGCCCACTCTTATAATGCCTTAGGACGGTACCAACGATACCTTAAGTGACCACCCGGACCCACCAAGGTATAGAAGTGACCTCAAGGATAGGACAATGAACTTACCAATGGAATGTTAGGAGGACACCATCATGACAAGTCCAGCCTACTCTAATCCCTGTACCTTCATGCTATTGGTGCTAGTGTCCGAAGTAAAATTCTTTTAATTTCCGTGATCGGCGGAATCGAACCATCATGCTCAGGCTATATAAAGAGATGCACTACACCAGGGACACTTACGTAGTATGATAATATATATAATAAAATCAATGAATCGGAAAAAATATGGCCCGAAAATCAGCCAATGATCGGAATAATTTCTATTTTTGGTTGTCTTATTCTTTCTTTAGTAACTTATTTAAGAATACCTACGTAAGTATACGAAGACAAAAAAAAATTTTTGTAAATCGAAATTAACTCAATGGATAAAAAATTAAAAATTTCTTCCAATAACAAAAAATGTTCGTATTGTAATAAACCTATTACTAAAAAATCATGGTGTAAAGAATGTGACCCATTTAGAATGATAGAAGGATGGACCAGTGGAAACTTTGGTATTGATAAATTTATAAAAGATACAATATATGATGCAAGAAATTATTCAGGGATTGTTTATAAATTCCTCGTATGGGTGCCATTTAATAGATTTACAAATTTAAAAAAAATTTGTGAAGGCGGATTTGCCGAAGTGTATACTGCAATATGGATTGACGGTAGATCAGAGTATCATAAAAATAATGGGACATGGAGAAAAGTAAACCCCGAACCTGGGATGAAAGTTGCTTTGAAAATATTAAAGGGATCAAATAATATGTCAGACGAATATTTAAATGAAGTACGTTTTAAACTAAGTATATTATTTCAAATTTAATTTTATTTCATTTTAATCTAATGTTAAGAATTAATACAATATTTTTTATTGATACTATATTATATATAGCTTAGAATACATTGGAATATATCTAGAGAACATGGATTAAGTTTGTATGGAATAACTAAAGACCCAAAAACTGAAGAATTTGTGATGATTTTAGAATTTGCTTGTGAAGGGAATTTGAGAAGTAGTCTTTCAAAGAATTTTAATAATACTTTATGGAAAAATAAAATTAAATTATTACATGATTCATTAATAGACTTACAAAAATTACATAAATCAGGATATTTTCATAAAGATATTCATAGTGGAAATATCTTAAGAATTTATGATGATTTAACTTATATTTCAGACTTTGGATTATCTGGACCAGCAAATGAACAAAAACTAAATGATAAAGTATATGGAGTAATGCCATTTGTTGCTCCAGAAGTCTTAAACGGAAAACCATATACATCATCCGCTGATATTTATAGTTTGGGTGTAGTTATGGTTGAAGTATCATCTGGAAAACCACCTTTTTATAATATAAAACATGATGTACATTTAGCATTAGACATATGTGGTGGTCTCAGACCAGAATTTGGAAAAGGAACTCCTGAATTTTATAAGGAATTGGCTTATAAATGTATGAATGCTGACTCAAATAAAAGACCAACAGCTGATGAATTATGTGGTATATTTAAGTTTTGGTATAGTTCTATTAATGGTAACACAAAAGAGGTAGAAGTATTTGGTTATAAAGGAAAAGAAATTAAAGAAGCGTTTGAAGAAGCTGATAAAGAAATACCAAACATCTCAATTTCATATGAAAAGAATTCTGATGCTGTATACACTAGTAGAGCATTACCGAAACCTGTAAATAAAGGTAGGCATTTTCTATTTTAAAAACTTTTTTTTTTTAAAAAAAAAAAATAATTATTACTAAATTTTTGTTAATAGATTATGATTCTAAATTACCTGACTTGGAAATTCCTAACTCAATGCAATTAAGAGGTACTATAATATAATTTACTATTCAATTTATGCATTAAAGATACTAATATTTACATTGAAAAATAATAGATATTGATAATGAAAATACGGTTGATAATTAGTAAAAAAATTAAATATTTAAATAAAAGACAAACATGAATATCTTACATATGATGTATTTCAATATAAAATATAAAAATAATTAAGTTTTTATATTACTTATCTATAAGATATAATACGATGAGCGATTTCTTTAACTACAATATAAGCTAGTATTGTGAAGATAAATAAATAAGTTATAATAGTATTCAAAATAAATTTTGAATCGTCAAAAAATTAGTGATTAGTATTTGTTTTAAGTTAATGATTATGAAATTGATTACTATCGAATTTATTCGATTATATGGAGTTGATGATCGATGACTTACCACATTACGAAGCCCGCATTTCGATCTTCAAGAATGTCACGAAATGTAATCTCCATGATAAAGATATAAAAAAAGAATTTGCTAAATTCGTTCGGGAGATCTATACTAAGATATATATTTGGTTATCGCGTATGAAAAACTCAGGGATTAACCAAGATAAGTAAACATTGTTCGCATAATAATAAAATAAAGAGAGAGATCATAGGACTTGATAAATCTTACAGTAAAAGGAATTTTATTTTAGACCTTAATTATAGATGGATATGAACGATAGTATAAAGAGATATTAACGAGTATAGAGAAAGTTTGGGTTACCTGTAGGATGGCAAATTGGAGCCGATTTCCCTTATATACAGAAATTTAGAGATTTATGAGACTGGAGCTATACGAAATGTATTTTCATATTTTTCTAATAGTGGAATATATTAGATAAGATAATTCCGTATATGTTATGTGTGAATTTTATTATATAGTAGCGTATGTCGTTTGATATGTATGATAATAATATAGAAACATATTTCAATTACTATTGACTTTAATAAAGAAACATAACAAAGTATTTTGAATTGAATTACTACCAATTCATATTGTGTCATATTGACTAATATACATTTAAATATAAATAATAAAATTAATATTTAACGTATGACTTACATTATATATACTGTAATATCATTTCCTATTTAAAAAAGTTTACGTTTATAAAGAAAATTTATGTAGTACATATAAGATGTAGGAACCATTTTATGTAATAATATTGATAAAATAAACCATAACTAACAAATTCAACAATAAGATTTGTTTAAGTTTTTATGGAGAAGTATTAAAATGATTAAAAATATATAACACAAATGATTAATTTTATTGATACTTTGCAAATTGCAACATACATCTGTAAATACTAAATGAATAATAAATACTAAATATTAACGTGAACGGTGATATTTATTTAATAGTATAAATGTATAATGATATTCTTTGACAAAAAACTTTTATGTAAAATGGTATGCACAATCATAAAAAATAGAGAACTTATTATTACCTTTAACCTCGCAATCATAGAAATTTTTAATTTTTAAAAAGAGCATTGCTAAATCTCACCGGTGGTTCTCACCGGTGGTGATTTTCACCGAAATTTTTTTTTTA